TTAAAGCACGGCATTTGAAACCACACAAATATAGGCTCAAGTATTGACTCAACCACTTTGCTAACTGTGTAATGTTAAACACTTAATCATTCTGAGCTTCAATCGTCTTATGTCTGAAATTAATATAAAAATAGCACCCACTTCATAATGTTATGTGACTAAATACATGTCAGAGGCTTATTTTAACTTCTGGCACAAAGTATGGACTTTGTTAGTTATGGTTTTAAAAGTATGTCATATACCACATGCTTGAAACTAATAAAAATGCTAGCAATTTAATTCTGTCGGTGTTAAATTCTACCCAAAATGGAAACGTGTATTTCATTAAAACTATCAAAGAGTTGAAATAAAAAGATTCACCTTTGGCTCATCTCTTCTCACACCCATGCGGCCTCTCCTTGGTCTTCTTATTACTTTAGTTGTTCTGTAATCGGACTGGCTGTCCACCAGGGATCCAACTGAATATCGCAACTCAGCTGAGGTGTCTAGATGAGTTCTGAAAAAAAGGGAAAATGTGAAATATATCCAATCTCAAAAATTAAACTTACCAGCAAACCACTATCTGCTGCTTGATTGGCAATAAAGCATAAACCCTCAAGGAAATAAACCTCAAGGAAGAAAATTAATGAATTGTCATATCTCTTTGAGGCTTCTTCACAGACTTATGTTAAAAGTTCCAGTCTCAGGTTCATTCCTGAAGGTCAAGTACATTTTCTTTTTTTTAGAGTATACTTATAACCTTTATTTTCATTATAATTTTTTTTTTTTGACCGGTAAGGGGATCGCAACCCTCAACAGGGTGTGGTCTGCACCACACTCAGCCAGTGAGCACACTGGCCATCCCTATATAGGATCCCAACCCATGGCCAGCCTCAGTGCTACCAGCGCTGCACTCTCCTGAGTGAGCCACAGGGCCGGCCCCCTTTTCATTATAATTTTTAAATGGAGTACTTCAATGAAACATATTAAGATTGATAACCAAGACCCATTGGATTAAATTCTGGCAATTCTATTTAGTTTGAGCCTTTAGTAGATATCTCAATATTTGCTATTTATTACCATATTTGCTTTAAATATTTCTTCTTAATCTAACTGAAATATGTGTACAATTTTGGGGTCCCAGAGCTTTTTCAATTTAAAAATTTTTGGAGAAATTTACTCACAAATTCTCTAATTTTTTTTTGTCTTTTTTGTGACCGGTAAGGGGATTGCAATCCTTGGCTTGGCATCGTCTACACCGCGCTCAGCCAGTGAGCACACCAGCCATTCCTTTATAGGATCTGAACCTGCAGCGGGAGCGCCACTGCGTTCCCAAGCGCCGTGAGTGCGCCACGGGGCTGGCCCCAAATTCTCTATTTTTTAACGTTCTAGTTTTTAGTTTAGAGAATCAACAAAATGCTTAAGATGAGCTTCATATTGATGGGAGGTTGATAATCTTTATTTTTTAAATAAAATAGGATATATTTTTTAAATAAAATAGGATATACCACTAGAGCAAAAATTTTTTTTTGGCTTTCGATAAGACATTGCTCCAAAAAGATGAACAAAAATTTTTTGATAACCA